CGCAGAACTAATTATTTTATTGAAAATTGATGTTAATGGTCCTAGAAAAATGTGCTTACAGTCAGATATTAGAAAAGCAGGAATTAAGTCTGGGCCAGCTACCATGGTAGGTTTTATGTTATTTAGAGCCTGTAATACTTCAGCCTGCGTAATACTGGATAACGATAACACATTCAATGAGTCAAGATTCATATCAGGGTAGTCACTACAAAGGGGAGCAGAGAAAGAACTCGAGAAATACTTCGCAAAACCGTTAGCTATCTTCTGAGGGCTATCTAAACTAGAGGACCCATAACTCATAACACTTGGTAAACCACCAGACCGGGAGATTTTGTTCATATATGAAAACAGCTTTTTTGGATTCGTTTTTATATTATCCTTAATTACTTGTAGGTAATTGGAATAGGCATCTCGTATCTCCCTTTTCAATTCAGATCGTAGTTGTTTAAATTTATTACCGTATTCTTCGTCACCAGTGGCTTTATACCTTTTCCACAATTTATACTTTTGTTTAAGACGCAAAATGATGTTTTTATTGTACCATTCAGGAAAAGCTCCCATAGAGTTATTTTTATAGGGAATATGTTGTGCAAAGATTATCATTAGTTGGTCGTAGAAGACATTGACCATGTCATTGCTGTCCAAAACCGTATTTAAAAAGTTCCAATCTACCTTTAATAAAGCAGCATAAAGACCCACAAAATTGGCCTTTTTAAAGTTAAACTCATTTAGGTTTGTGGCGCAGGATTTTATAGTTTTTGATGTTTCAAAAGTAATTCCAATTTTTAATGCAGGGTGATGTTTGTCCTCCGGTAAGATTATTTCACTAGCTTTGCAAACTGTAGGAAATTTATTACTAAACACCAAGTCGAGAAGTCTACCCATTGAATTTGCAATACGATTAAATTGTTTTAATTCAAAATAGTTAATCAAGTTATTAATAATATCAAACTTTACGGAGTGTGTATTACATTCTTCACAATTAAGAAATTCCGAGATATTAAAGTCACCAATAACTATAAGATCAGACCCATATATGCAATTCAATGACATGAGTATATCAGAGAACACAGCAAAATTATCACAGGTACTGTTCGGTGGTATATACACAGTGAGTATATATATAATTCGATGTTCAAAAAATACCTTGACAAGAAGTAAATCAACATGAGGAATATCACCGAGATTATCAGTAATTAAATCTAGTTCAATTTTTATGCCCGTTAATATTTTAGATCTTAGTGCTAGTAACACACCACCACCTCTTTTCCCAGTTGAACGATCACTTCGGAAAACACTGAAATTAGATAGATCAAAAAGTTCACCATTCATTATACTGTCATTAAGCCATGTTTCAGACAAAGCTAATATATCATAAAAGATAGATTGAGATGCTAGCAAGATTTGACTGGTTTTGGTACCAAGTCCACGTACATTCTGATAATACATCGTAAGAGAGCATTTTCTAACACAAAGTAAATTATTATTAGTACTACAACGAGTTGATTGCTATTGCGAATTTAAAATAATGTTTTTGAAGTTCTCTACATGGGTTTTATACACAACACATTTGTTAATTTCCCAAGTTGCGTGATTTGAGTCTACATTGGAATTAGTCTGTTTTAATTGACTGCAGTGAACACAATTAAGCATCTCTGATTGACAGTCTTGCAGCTTATGTTTTTCAGAACATCTAGGACATGTGGGCATTTTTTCTTTGCACTTGTCGGCAAAATGATGGAAACCACAACAATTGTAACACCGACGCACATCTATACCATCCCAAATTTTGCAATATTTATATCCAATCAGCACTTTTTGCGCTTTCAACAATTTATTATAGGAGTCTAAATCAGTTTGAACAACAGCCTGATATAATTTATTATTTGTATTACGCATAGCTCTAAAACTAATTACTTTATGGTTCTGATTACTATTGAATAATAATTGATTCTGATGTACAAGACACCTCGAAAACATCTCAGAATTAATCTCCTTGGGAATTCCTGAAACTCTTACTCTGGGACAAAGACTAGGCAATTGTTCAGCATTATAATCCTCATGAAGTTCACTATTTACCAAATCAATGATTTTCTTTGTGTCCTCACTTTTTTCACAGCTGATAATGACACCTCCGTTTCTCGCGGATTTAACTCTCGATATGTTTAAATCATTATCGACGGGATTGATTTTACCTAACAAATCAGATTTCGTGTTTGATACTTTTTGCTCAGTGTTTTTAGGCCTTAAAATAACTGAAGTTTTCTTTACGATAGCAGCATAGGAAAATTCACCTTCTTTTTCAGGATAGGTAGACACTTTATTTATAAGATCATTTAAAATTATACCTTGAGAATTAATTGTATCATTTTGCTGCTCAATTTTTGAGATACATGTATCGATAGCCTCTTTTAACGTGTCAAACTTTTCAGATTTTTGGCAGACAGAACATTCATCACAAATATACTTAAAACTGGTATGTTTGCTTAATATTTTAAATTCGGCATCCTCTATTTTGAGGCATTTGATATGAACTCTACCATTGCATATAAAACATGAAAGCAATTTATCATTCCTCCGATTGGTGTCTCCATCACATAACTTACAATTCACCGGCATTTTACCACCCAGAATTAAGGTGGCACGTATAGCATTTGCGGGCTGCCGCAAAAAATTTTCTTTCGAGATAACAATGCTAAAACGTCGGTGGACTTGGAGTCAATGCACTATAACCTCAAATATGATACAATGTACATATAGTCTAACTTTCTTAAGCAATAACTATAATAAATACTGACTTCATATCTTTTGCCAAATATAACAAGTTACAGCCTAAAAACTTATTAACTTCCATACACAACGAAAAACTCACGATATAGTGGCTTACACCGATCCGCACGCCTCACACACACTCATATATAATTTTTTGATTCTGATGGATGTTTGGTCCTTGTCACAACGATTTTAGATTGTTTATTGGAACAGAAATAAGAGCAACTTAGAATGCTACTACCTTTTTATAAGAAATATTGAAAATGTTGTCCTTGACTAGCAATATAGGCGTCAGAGCGTCGCAAGAGGTTTGTTGATAGGTAAAAACCACTTTCACTCGTTGAAGCTCTTCGATAATTTCTGGACACTGTTGATTTCCACAAACGAACTGTTTCATCCAACCGATACACATTTATCGAAAACCGTCTCTTGCAATCGTATTTGTGGACGAGCATGTGGAGTTTGATTGGACAAAAAGTGAGTTACACAACGTGGACAATCAGCGGGCTCCAAACCCTTTACTTTGTCAACATGGTATGGATGTGGCCGTATTCTTTTAATGTAGGATGCACTACAAGCCGTGAAAATCCAACTTCTTCTTTCTGTCCTATCACGGCCACGATCGTGAGTTTGAAGTTGAAGGTACCATGATCTCGGAGTTTTTCTATCACTCATGCAAATGTTCGCCCACACCAATTACCATATCGACACAATCTGCATGGGAAAACTCCACCATAAGCCGATTTCACCGACCGCTCGATGCTAACTGGCCCTTCTCGTGTTTTTCACGTTGGGATTAAAAAAGTGCCTGATAAAGTCACTTTTTTGGTTTTTAATCCGACTCGTTCTATTCCATTCATTGTGGTAATTATGCAGGTCACAAAACAGTCCAGCGGCGCGTACAACAATTTACATTTAATTTCAAATAATTTTTTCTAGACACTGCTACTACTTAGGACCGTGAATTTTACCCAGTGACATAATCATATTGTGAGCTATTCCCCATTTTTTTTTTGCATGTATTTCGCAATCACCTTGTATATGGATGAAACTATTTTTCATCCTTATTTTAAACAATGGTTTTACTTTAATATCAATAATGTCTGAAAGGAAAGGACATAATTACAAAAACGGTAAATAAGCAATATAAGATATTTTTTTCCAGACGACGCAGACTTGGAACAAATAATTTCGGATTCCATAAACAAGTTTTCTTCATTTTCAGTGTATGCAGCCAACTATACTCTGTTTACCGAACAGATGGAGTTGTAAAAGTGCGTAATCTTTTAATACCCTAATATTTTCTCTTAGGTCACCTGAAGTTTTTCCTCTTACTTGAGCCTTTGTGTTGTGTGCTTGTTTTCAATTTCCTCTCGTTTTTCATGTTTTCTTTTAATCTTTAAACTGTTTTTAAAATCTCTTACTTTGATTTGGAATTTAGTTTCTCAACGATATTTTTTTTTTATTTTTATGAAGTATTAAGCCAAATCGTCCATTAGTTTACCACACAAAACTGGTCATTTTTACTGTTAATTGATGTACGTTTATTCTAATTTAAAATTTTAAAACTTGTTATAATTCGGTTTGAATATTGTGCCAGTGGCTACCATATAATACTAATAACGTTGAAATGCCTTGAAATAAACTAAATACTAATAAATAAAAATTAATGGTTGGATCATAGTGTATGTTATTTCAAAAACAAGGAATATAAGATGCATTTATAAACAGAAGAAAATATTTTAAAACATCCCGTCAATTTTGAAGTTATCGTGTAAGCTTGGACACCCACTTTATGGGCACGTGATCACTCCATCTGTTCGGTAAACAGACTATAAAAGAGTTTTTTCAAATTTCCATAGTTATAAAGACTTCAACAAGTCCGTTTCTGATGATCTTCAACAAAAACCATCTCACTGAACATAAATTCCCACGAAAATGATCTTTGCACTAGGCTTATTTGTATTGTCGCTCCTACACTAGTTTTTTTTTTTTTTTGGTGGGTTGATCTTTAACAATGACCATTGTGAAGAAATCGATTGCCTGTTATCTTGTTGACAAATTTAAAGAAAATTACAAAAACGCCAACTATCTCAATACAAAATACATGACATAGTTCAGTGTTATTAAGGAAAGATAAAATCCCTACAAGTTCCGTATTTTTCCTAAATATTTAAACATTCGCTTAATATTTAAATAAAATACGTTATAATTATAAATGAACTCACCTTGATTGGGCGAAGCTCCCAATTCCACCGAATGCCGCCCCTGCGCCACCTTGAACAAATCATTGACTAGACGTTCGAACAGATTGGCAGCCGCCAGATCACAGTCGTAATTAACATAAATATCAACGACGCTCTGCGCATCGCCGCAGATCCTCGTCAAAGCCTGGATCACCATCCACTTGTGTTCGAACGAAGAATTCGTCGTCTCCAGAATATTCAAGAAAATCTCCTTGAAGAACACCTCGATCTGCATCTTCAGATGCATCTTGAAGTTGGACAGCAACGCGAGGAATATGGCCAAAGACAATTCGAACACTTTCGGTATGGAACTGACTCCGTTTTTGGAAAGGGCGACGCACAGGTACTGCTTGATGGCCGTTATAAACATTTCGTTCGATCTGAAGACGGGACCGGCGTTCTGGAGAATGGAAAGAAGGAGCTGCAGGGACAGGATTTTGGAGCGGAGTTCGTGCGATTTAGGGTCGGGGGTGCCTTCAGGAAGCGGTTTCATAGAGAGCTTGCAGAGGGCTCGGAACACCAAAAAGGCGTCTTTTTGGAGGATGTGGGTGAATTTGGCGGTCACCGCAGTGTCGTTTTCGCTGTGGGTGTCGACGCTCTCTTGCGACGGGATCCTGAAAGGTTTTAAGTATCAAAGAAATTCTAACAATTAATTAGTTTCAAAGTTTTTTTTTTAATAATATAAAATAAAGGCGGATTCATAAACCACAGGTATAGAAGTATGTTCTTTTTCAACTTTACATAACTAATACCTGGGTATCGATGAGAGGCTGCCTTCGTTGATTTGATCAGAGATCTGTTTGCTTTCCACTTCTGTGATCACATCACCAATCAAGTTATCCAAAATCTCCCCAACAAATTCTGCACTAGCCCCATCTACCGCATCTTCATTAACTTCAATACTATCTTCAATTTTTAATGACTTGACAGATTTAGAATCAATGCCATTACAGGAACTATTTAATTGAATTTCTGATTGTACTTCAGCGTCCAAAGCCTGGTTTTCCATTCGGGTAAAAATCACATTCAACATTTGGGTCAATGTGGCTATGGCGGTTGTCTGATTGATGAGATTTTTACTAGCCAAAAAAATATTGTAGCAAGTCCGTACTGCCAAAAGCACAGTTCCTTCATGAACTTCCACATGCTGACTTGTAACCACAGTTAGAAGAGCTTTAATAATTTGTAGTTGTACTCCTGTAACAGATGTTTTTGAATATTTTTTAAACAAGGTGTAACTTAACAATACCTTCATCAGTCTGAGGTCCCGTAAAGCACGCACATATGGTTTCAACTATCCTATCAATAAGTAACTTCCCTGGAGTGGTGGAATCTGGTACGTTCGCCGTCAAGTGTCCATACGCTATTAACTTCTGAAGACAATCGAGCGCCGTTACCACAATTCTCGCAGATCTGCTCTGACATGCCAATTCGAACGGTAGAAAATATTTCTCAGTGGTCAAAACGTTCACCTCTCCACTCTTCGGCATCGGCAGAGCGTCAGACACTTTTTCCCCATCTTGCTCATCATCTTTCACTTCCTTTTTTATATCCTCTGAAATAATAAATTAATCTGACGTAGAAAACATACGCATGTCAAAATGTTACCCAATGCAACCTCACATGCCCGTTTCAACTGTGAATGATGTGACCTCTTGATTTCTTTATCGTTGAGAATCTTCTCCAGTGCACGCAAGATAAACATTTCTTTGGTTTTAGAGTTTGATTGCATCATTAATAGAATGCGCGAAATTAGTTAAAGCCCTTAAACTTAAACAGAAGGATCATACTTGTGACGTGTAGAACGATCAGATATTGAACAATTCCATGTGCGCATTTGCCTCGTTGGGGGCTTGTCCTGGTAGATATGTGGTAGGGGGGTTCTTCTGTTTAACATTCGATTTTTAACACTGTGAAGTTTTACGAAGACTTTTATTGAAATGGGTTTCTAAATACTTTCCAAATGTTTATCCCCGTAACTTGACATGTCACCGAACTGTCATAAAATTTTGACATATGAAGGACGGGATTTTGCCAACATAACATTTCACGTAATTGGCAGATTTGTTTAAAAAAAATGTTAAAAATGTTCGGTTTAAGATTTATTGTTACAATTTAAACGTTTCTGCAAGCCACATTTGTCACTAGCGATTTACGCTCATTTCCTAGTTTGTATTTAAAATGTATCATGTATTGTTGGTTGCATCTATATTAAATTCACTATTCCATTTTTATCAATAAATAATAGAATCATCTTCAGATATAGAAGACTTCATTTCAGAATAGAATACTTTTTACTTTACTTTTGTTTCGATTCTCTCTAATGAACTGCCAACTGATAAGAGAACACAAAACACACTTTCGTATTTTACGAGCTGTAAAACGTGTAAAACGTCAATAAAACTTGAAATTAGGCATCGAAATGACCTTCTTACATACATTTCAGTGCTTCGATAGTTATGTATGAATTTCATATACAATAAAGTACACTATTCTCAAATTTCGAAGTAAATATTTCTGATAAACGTGTGAACAACAAACCTACCGTTTCTATCGGTTAAAAAAAACATGTGTTGAACCCGGGTTACAGTATTTTCTGTAACATTGCTCCCCAGCTCTCGTCAAGTATTTGTGGTATAGGCGATTTTACAATATATTATTAATTTGTTTTCTCATTATTTTAATTAAATTAGCGAGAAGTAACAAATAAATCAAACTTTTCTTCAATGTGGCGGGTAATTTTCATACTTCTCTTGATCAAATTGCGGTAGTGTAAAGTACTGCGAACTTGAAGGAAAATATTTTAATAGCTGCCATCATTTTCTAAACTGTAGCTTTCTGTCAGTACTTATGCATTGTTAAAGATAGTTTTCGACGTTTAAATCAACAAGATTTGTTGCTATTCGTCTCAAAAACAGATTAGGTATTATAATTAGGCTCCGCCCCTCGGTCTGACAACGAATGATAAATTCATCACAATTGAGCTTGAAATGGATATGGGTGCGGCTTAATTTTTAGCTTGTTTTTTTCTTAATATATGTTTTTATTTCTTGTAGAGACAGGGTTTTGCAATTAACCTCCGCCCCCTTGACTCACGACGAATAAAAAATTCATCACAATTGAGATAGGGCGGGTGGGCGGGGCTTATATTTTGCCTTTTTTCTTAATATACGTAGTCGTGTTTTCAGAACAAGAAACTTCAAACATGTCTAAAATGGTAAATTCTTGCAGGCAAATATGGATCTTGCAATTAAGCTCCGCCCCTCGATCTGACAACGAATGAAAAATTCATCATGATTGAAATCGAGGCGGATGGGTGGGGCTTCTCTTTTGGTTTTCTTTTTTAATTTATACATTTAGTTTTCTTTGTATAACACGATTACTTACGAACATATTTCATATGGTAATTTCTCGTAGAAAAATAAGGATTTTACAATTAAGCTCCGCCCCTCGGCTTACGACGAATAAAAAAAATCATCAGAATTGAGATAGGGTGGGTGGGCGGGGCTTATATTTTGGCTCTTTTTCTTAATATACGCAGCCATCTTTTCACAACAGGAAACTTAGAACATGGTTAAAATCGTACATTTTTGCAAGGAATATTCTTTATACAAATTTTCCATTTTAAACATGTTTTAGGTAAGTTGTGAAAAGAAGTCTATACATATTCAAACAAAAAGGCAAAATGTAAGCCCGCCCACCCGCCCTATCTCAATTGTAATGATTTTTTTATTCACCGTGAACCAAGAGGGCGAAGCTCAAGTGCAAAATACTTATATTTTTACAAGAATTTAAAAACATGTTTTTGAGTATCGTGTTGTTCAAAGAAAACTGTGTATATTCAGAAAAAAGGCAAATTATAAACCCCGCCCACCCACCCCATCTCAACTGTGATGAATTTTTTTATTCTTAGAAACTTAAAACACGTTTAAAATGGCAAATTTTTGTAAGGAAATATGGATTTTGCAATTAGGCTCCGCCCTTAGGTCAGCCAACGAATGAAAACTTCATTACTATTTAGATCAGGGCAGAAATGGGTGGTAATATTTGACTTTAACACGATACTCAAAAACATGTCTTACATGATAATTTCTTGTAGAGAAATACTAAGGATTTTGCAATAATTCAATTCCGCTCCTTTGGCTCCCGACGATTAAAAAAAAATCATCACAATTGAGATTGGGTGAGTGGGCGGGGCTTATATTTTGCCTATTTTCTTAAATACGTAAAAATGTTTAAAATGGTAAATTCTTGTAAAGAAATATGGATCTTGCAATTAAGCTCCGCCCCTCAATCTGACAACGAATAAAAAATTCATCACAATTGAGAATTAAGTTCGGGGCGGGTATGGGTAGGGCCTAATTTTTGTTTTTTTTTCCTTAATATACATAGTATTCTTTGAACAACACGATACTCAAAAACATGTTCTTAGTTTCTCGTATAGAAATAAGGATTTTGCAGTTAAGCTCCGCCTTCTTGGCTCACGACGAATAAAAAAAAAATTATCTCAATTGAGACAGGGCGGGTGGGCGGGGCTACATTTTGCCTCTTTTTCTTAACATATGTAGACTTATTTCGACAACGAGAAACTTAAAACATGTCCTAAAATGGTAAATTTTTGTAGTAATCAATTCAAATCCTCCACTTTTCTTCTACAACTCCTTTAAATACGGCAAAAGTTGAACATCGCACTTACTACCAACAGCTCTGAAAGCAACGCTAGCGGAAAAAAGGGAACTTCAACATCAGCAGCAAGTTTATAAATCCCACTTAAATTAAATGGAACATCAACTCAGTAGGGCTTTAGCGCAGGCTGTTCATGTGACTTTCACGTGAATAAAAATTACAAATTAAGACCCTTGAATTATTTCAAGACAAGTCAAGTGTAAAAATGATCTTACGCACTTTATCTATCTTTTTAGGCATAATTATCTCCATAATGTCGTGCGATAGTAGTATATTTCTTATCTATTAATTTTTATAATTTAGATTAGTTTCTAAATTAGTAACATCCACTTTTGAAACAATGGGAAACTTTATTTTAGCTTTGACAGCTCAAGAATCCTGAAAGTTTTCGTCTCTTTCCAAAAAAATAAAAAAATGACTTTTTTTTTGTACATATCACGAAGTACTTCACAGAAAATCTTCTTTACATAAAGTTTAGAACAATAAAAAAGGAGAACAATTTAATATCTATATCTAAAATAATTTAGTACATCACTTTGAAAGATAAGTTTACTCGATATAGGTACATTAAGATACTTCTTTGTTCATCTTGCTTAATTATGATAATTGTGTTTTAACTCGTGTGTAATTTATCTCTTCGCATATCTTTCCAAGTACCTGACATACATTTAATTACACTTAGATCAAGCACTTTTGAGTTATATTGAAAGTACTCGAGACATTTCAAACCGAGAAGACCAATCCATTATTTTCAAAAATATTTTAAAATTCTCATTTTTGATATTTTAGGCGATTTTGAACTGTCTTATTTATTTATAGAGTCTTACCTTTCAATTAAGTTTGGCTATATTTATCTACATATATCAGCTAACTTTGACGCTAGTTTTATCCTTCACATATTTTTTTTGTCCTGTAAGTGGTTATGAATATTTATATGAGAGTATAGGTAATTTTGCACTCACTGCCGAAAATTAGAGATTATTAGTTCTACACGATAACAAAAACTAAATATATAATTTTTCTGAAGTGCTTTTAACAAAATAATCTATTATATTGTCTTAAGTGCTTTGTTAGATATATTTTTTTTTGTCGCAAAAATTATTATCGAATATCGTGCCAAGCAAATCTTCAGTTGTCAGCAGAATGTCGTTACCTATAATATATTTGCTTTTCATACTTTTCTCGCAAGCTTTGTTACAAGATAAACCCTACAACTTTAGGCCAGAATCTCGTCAAATTTATGTTAATTATGGTGAAGACTATTTCATCGGTTTCGACGAAATTGACAATCGAACGATTTTTGGACACTGTACCATCCAGTCTGATACCTATAACATAGATTATGATATTCTGGAACCAACCAATGATACCAATAAAGTGCAAGTAGGAAGTTATTTTTCCAGCGGATTTTCACCTTTTAACGGAACAGGAATTTGTGCTTTTTCTTATTATGCAGTAGATGCTACAACTCCGTTGAAGTGGACCATCACCGCTTATGACAATAAAACTAAACAGAATTTTAAAGAAGAAGTCTCAGTTAAATTCTATTGTAAGTACCAGTATGACACTTTTTTAAATATATTTTTTAATTTTTTCAAAAATGTTGTAGATAACATGCCCCTCTATATGGATCAAATTGTAGTTCTGGAAACCGCCAGCATAGCAAATTTCTTCTACGCTGGCACCACTAAATTAACAAAATGTGTTCTAAGTTTTGACAACGTAACAATAGACATAGATTTGAATGAAATCAAAGTTTATAATGACGTGAGTTCACATTTCCAAAAATTCGGTTACTAATTAGATCTTGTTACTGTTTCCACAGGATATTTTCAAGTCACGACTTACAAGTTTAGGGGAAGGAAAATGTGGCTACAAAATCAGCAACGTGAATTCTAACGATTCAAGAGATTTAACCCTTTACGCTACGGATGACCAAAACAAAGAATACAGAAATACGACAACGTTTTTTATTACAAGTAAAAAATAATAGTGTGCAAGTTTGTTTGAGTACTAACCATATGATTCTGCAGAAAATCAATATCTGAAAAATAGGACCATTTCAACCTATTTAGGGAACAGTGTTTCAATAATATGTGGCAAAGAAACTGATTCTAGCGCAAACAGTGATCAAAAATTTTGTCATCTGTATAACCCGCAAGGTGTTTTAGTGTCACATGACCATATGTGTGACTACGAATTAGATATAGTAACTAAGGACGATTTAGGAACTTGGAAGTGTTTAGTGGGATTTGACTATATAATGGATACTTTACAATTTACCACGGACCTTACTGAAATGAGTAAGTTTTTACCCATAAAATCTCACT